GGTCTCGTGCGAGGCGTCTTCTCGTGCCGCGCCCACCCCTCCCGGCGCCGTGGGCCCGCCTTGCAGCCAGCGAGCCTCTGGTCACCCCAATGGGCCTGCGCCTGGCTCGAGGTGAGGGCCCGTCGTTCCCTCGCGGGCGCGGCCAGGCCTCCTGAGCCCCTGGCAGGGAGCCACCCTTTGCCACCTTTGGGAGCCCACGGACGTGTGTGGGCCGTTTCTGGGCCCTCCCTGTTCCGATCGTCCGTGCCGTCCACGCAGCACCACGCTGTGGTTTGGTTTTGTCTTTTAAAACTCTTTTCCTGGTAGTGGTAGTTGAGTATTTTTGTTTATTACTCTATTTTGCCTACTCTAAATGTTCCATTTTATTAACTTTTAACTTCCTACTTAATACTTAGTTCGTTATTTCTTCTTTTTTTCTTTTTTGTTAAGCCTCATTGGAGGATTTTTTTCATTGCTTTTCAGAGGAGGGGGAACATCATTGATGAGAGAGAGAAACGGGCTGGTTGCCGCCTGCCCGCTCCCGCCCAGCACCAGGGGTCAAACCTGTAGCACAGGCGTGTGCCCCTGACCTGGAATCGAACCCGCAACCCTTGGGTGCACTGGCGCACACTCTGACCACTTGGCCGCAGGTGCCAGGCTATATTTAGTGTCGGAGGGGACTCCTGTGGGTCCATGTCCTCCACGCTACAGATGTCTTGTTCTCTGAAGGCCAGTTTTCAGACCTGCCCCACAGACTGTGGGGGCAGTTGCTGGTTGTCGGGTGTTGAATTAAAACACACACAGGGCGTTCCAAAAAACGTACACACCCTTTAACAGCTGATTGCGTTACATTTTGAAAGTGAAACGTGTTTTAACAAACAGTCTTTATAGTTATTCAAAGTGTGTGTACATTTTGGGGGGCACACTATACATATGTCTTTACTTTTTAGAGAGAGGAAGGGAGAGGGAAACATGCATTTGTTGTCCCACTTATGCATCCATTGGTTGATTTTTGTGTGTGCCCTGACCGGGGATCGTACCGTGATCTTCTGGATCCCAGGTCGACACTCAACTGCTGAGCCACACCGGCTGGGCCCCAAGATATTTTTTAGTAACTAAATAACACATACACAAAAAAAAACCCAACCCCAAATGATTCCAAAACAGAACACCCAGGGTGGACGAGGGCTGTAACTCCAGACTGCCTGGGCTCAGACCTGAATCGGCCCTGTGGTGGCCACATGGCCAGGTGGCCTTGGGCACCATGAGTCTCTGTGCCATTGGCTCACCTGGAACAGGGATAAGAGGTGGCAGCTGCCTGTGTTGGCTGGATGACTATTTGGATCCTGGTGATGTAACGACCGAGAGGCAGTGCTCACTGGTCAGTGTGGGCAGTGTCGCTCAGGTCCATGCAGTCCCTTGGGGACCCACGCTGCTTTGGGGCTGGTGCCATTCTCTGTGGCCACCGAAACCTTTGGCTGGCAGTGCTCATAGGATCTCGGGACTTCTAGGGTCTGAGCTCAGTTGTGTAAGCCCTGGTGGATAGAGGGACACACAGAGAAGTGGCTGGGCCAGGGCCTGGAGGAGGGTGCCAGGTGCTGTGACAGCTGGGATGTGTCTCACCTCTTCCTTCTGTTGCTGGGAGAATGTAATGAGATCACTTGTCTCCTCCTGTGCTTCCCAGGGTCTCCCAGTCTGCCCCCACCCCTTCCTCTGCCCTCTTCCCCAGCAGCCCCCTTGAGCAAGGCCTTCCTGGATAGTCCTGTCCAAAGGTCTCACCCCATGGCTGCGTCACAGGCCCTGCACTGTCCTCCAAGACAGCTGTGGCCATCTTAGTTGTTAGGCGAGTCCACTGGGTGACTTGGTGCTGCTGCCCAGAGGCTGGAGGCCCCAGAAAGCCTTGTCCTCCAGCCCAGAGCCGGCCTGAGGGTGTGTGTCTGTCTGTGCGCATGCATGTCTGCGTCCTGCACCTATGTGCACAGGTCCCTCCTGAGCCAGCTGGCTTTCCCTTAGTAAGAAGGAGACACGTGAAGAGATGCAACATACATCTCGAGACAAAGGGCGGAAGGTGGAGACCGACCTTCACAAGAATAAATGTTGGCAATAAATACATAAAGGTTGGCGCCACCTCATGCTCTAGCCATGAAATGGCAAGTGCAGCTGCCACCAGGCCATGGGCGGGGGCCATGCAGTGCGGGCCCCATCTGTGGGTCTGGGAGCTGCATGTCCCATGGGAGGGCATCCTGGGAACCTGTGTGGTGAAAGGACAGTGAGGTGGCCCTACCTTGGTGAGGCGTTGGGGGCAGGGTGGCGAGGCTGTGGGTCCAGGTCACGCACTGAGGCACGTGTCCCCACAGACCCGTGCCTGTACATCCCACGCTTTGCCCACCTGCTGGAGTTCGGTGAGAAGAACCACGAAGTGTCCATGACAGCCCTGCGGCTGCTGCAGAGGATGAAGAGGGACTGGATGCACACGGGCCGGCGCCCCTCCGGCCTTTGCGGGGCAGGTACAGTCTCGGAGTCAGGCTGGCCAGGTTGCCGGGTGGCGGCTGCTGTCCCGACCCTGCAGCAGGGTGGGTGCTGGGTTCTCTCCAGAGCTGCCTCCCAGCCTCTCCTGCTCTCGGACTTCCACCTGCTCCCAGCTGCCCTCCACAGGCTGGGGGTAGGGGCAGGATTGCCCAGCTCCCTGGTCTAGATCTGGGGCTTGACTGCTGGGCCACTGGCCTTTCGGGCTGGCTCCCTGGCCCTTGCGGGCAACTGTCTGGTGTGTCCTCTGGTGGCAGCCACCTGCAGACACTGTTGGGTCTGCTGGAGCCCCTAGGGCCAGAGACCCCCCCAGGGCCCCTCAGGCTGGCAGGGCTCTCACTCTTCCTCTTGGCCCTGTGCCCAGTGCCTACAGGTCCACTTTTTTCTGGAATGCCAGGGCCCGCATTCCCACGATCCGCTACCAGTAGGCTCAGTGCTGCCCCAGGTTCATTTTCCATCCAAAGCCTGGTTTCCTAGTTTGCAGTCCAGATCCAGCCCACCTAGCCAGGGTCACCATGCCCAGAACATGGGCCACTCCCTTTGTCTCAGTCTCTAGAACCCTCAGCTTCATTGCCAACCAGCGTCTCCCACATAGGCCACCTCAGCAGGTTCTCTTTGCCCATTATGGGAAGCCCTCAGAAAACAGGCCCTGGTTCTCCGTGTCTCACCACGGAGGTCAGGCAGCACGTGGTCCTCTCTATAAGTCTTGACCATCGTGGTTAGAGCAGCATGTAGATCTCAGTGACACTTGCACAGACTGAGTACGCCCACTTGTGGGGTTGGCCTGATGTCTGGGTCACAGCGCATGTGCTCTGCTGCTTAATCCCGTCATCTCCCTTTTCAGCACTTCTGGTCGCAGCCAGGATGCATGACTTCCGGAGAACCGTCAAAGAGGTCATCAGCGTGGTCAAGGTGTGCGAGTCCACGCTGAGGAAGAGGTGGGTGGCTCTTGCTTAGGGCCTTGGGGCAGGGCCACATCCTCTACTAGGCTTAGCTGCGCCTGCTGGTCAGAGCCCCATCCTGGGGGTCCTGCTGCTTCCTGTCTGGCCAGGAGCCTGCAAGGCTGGGTCACAGAGGGGCTGCCCTCTCCCCTGTAGAAGTCCGTCCATCTGGGGCCACGCCTGCCCCATCCCCGCTGCAGTGGCCCTTTCCTGCAGACCTTGTTTGTCTCCACAGTAAGCTCAGGTGGAACAGTGGTTTGTAGAATTGCCCAGACTCAAAGGGGTCAGGAAACGGGCACTGAGGGCGCCTCACTTGTGTTCTGCTCAGTGTGGCCTGAGAGACCGTCACCTGGAGGAAGCTGAGATCGAGCACAGGGCTACCACATCTGTGTAGCTAAGCAGCCCAGCCAGGTGCTGCCTGGGGCGCAAGGTCACGGCCGCCCAGCTCAGCTCACTGGGACCCTAACCCTGCTGCCTTTACCACGGGTGGTTTTCAAAGGCAGATGAAACATCGTGTGCTTGTTTGGCTTATATACAGTTTGTTTTAAAAATTCTGTCATTAAACTTTTTGAAGGTTGTATGGAAGTTGACCAGGTTGCTGAAAATTTGCCTTCAGCTGGGCACTGGGCTGTGGGTTGGGCTTCTTCCTCTCCGGGCCCCTTCGAGTCCATCTGTGGTGCCAGGAGGGTGTAGGGCCTTTTCTCCTGGGCCAGGTTTGAGCTGTTGGCAGGACTGAGCAGGGATGGACAGGCTGCCGGAAGGTAGCTGGCCTGTGCTCACGGAGTGCCGGGTGCTGGGCCAAGGAATTGGACCGTCTGGGATGCCATTTCGCAAACTGTGGGCCGGTTTACGTGGCTTTTCAGGGGCATCAGGCTCCCTTTCACAGAGCCTATGTCTCTGTCCTAGGCTCACGGAATTTGAAGACACCCCCACCAGTCAGCTGACAGTAGACGAGTTTATGAAGATTGACCTGGAGGAAGAGTGTGACCCCCCATCGTACACGGCCGGCCAGCGGAAGCTGCGGATGAAGCAGGTGAGCCCACCTGCACGCCGACTGCCCATGCCTCACGGTCTGCACGTGAGGTTCTGGCTGCGTTCTGTGACCTAACTCTGCACATTTGTATTGCAAAGTGGAGGCCTGCATGCACACATGTGTGTGGGATGTGGACATGTGAAGGTGCGGGTGGGGCCCACAGGTCCCTTTCCAGACTATCGGGGCGTCTAGCTGGGCCCCTACTCCTCTCCAAGGCCTGGTTGCTAAGTTTATCTGGATGGCTGAGCACATGTCCCCTTGTTGGGGGACCCAGGCCTGAGCTCAGTCTCCACCTCCTGGCTCTTTGCCCTTGATCAGACCCCTGAAGCGTGTTCCTGGCCAGGACAGCATCAGGCGCCCCCGTTAGGGAGGGGCCTGCGGGGGCCCCGCAGCACCGGCTGACTCAGGTCACTCCTGTCACTCAGTGTTGTCATCTTCGTTTTCAGCTTGAACAAGTCCTGTCGAAAAAACTGGAGGAAGTTGAAGGTAAGCAGCCCCCCTGACACCCGGACCCTTCGGGTCCTTGGGGACGGGCCCTGTGCTCACTTCTGCTCCTGATATGTCACTTTAGGGGAAATATCCACCTACCAGGACGAAATCGAGACTGAACTAGAAAACAGCCGGCCCAAGGCCAAGGGGGCCCTGGCCAGCCTGGCGAGAAACGGTGAGTCCACCATGCCCCACACCTGGCCACTCGAGTCACCCCTTCCACAGCCACGTGTCCTGCTTCACTCCAGGCCGCTGGCCCCCACACGCCACGCTGAGTGTCCAGTTGCTCCTAGGATACCCCTATCCCCCCAGGTACCAACTCTCTCTTGAGCAGCTCCCGAGCACCCAAGTCCACTCGTCTTCTGTCCCAGTTGCTCTGGACAGAATCGCCCACTTGGGTTTTTGTTCTCAGATGCAGGCCCGCCCTGCCCACTGCCCATGGGTAGGAGCTTAGCCCTGGATATGGGGCCCAGACCACCTCGAGCCCCTTTCCACAGTTGCCCCTCGGTGCCCATCCATGTAGTTCCCGTCCCAGGCACCCTCCCTGCCAGCGGAGCCTGTGGAGCTGCTATGAGCTTTAGGTGCACCTGTAGTTCCATTTCTCTTCTGGTTCCCAGGGGGGCAGGGCTGCCCCTCATTGTCCTGCGCAGGGGCCCTGTGGGGTTGGGGCAACAGGCCCAGGCCCAGGAGCAGGCGATGAGTGACGTTGGTGCTCCCATGATACCTGGTCTGGGCCACGGGCACCCCCAGCCTCCTCTCCCAATTCTGCAGCCCCTCTGGTGTGTTTTTTCATGTGATCTTCAGTCACTTGTCCGGTCCCTGTCCCATCCCCCCCACGTGCGCTCTGCTCCTCGGCAGCCAGGAGGGGGTTGGCGCCATCCCGCAGTTTCGTGCCTGAGCCGCATCGCCGTCTCTGTTGCTGGGGAAGTGGCGTCTCTGTCCGGCAGCCGCTGCTGTTTTTGCTGACACTGACCCCCTGACCAGCGCGTGGGCTCTGTGTTGCCGGTGCTGGGCTCTGCTGCCACCTCGGCATGCAGCCATCGCTGGGTTTCCAGGTTCAGGCCGTCCTGACTCATGCCTTCGACCCGACACAGTGCAGTGATCCATGCTCAGTAGGGATCGTCTGCGTTCTGAGTGTTGATCGTTTCTGTGGGCCCCGTACCCCTGCAGTCGCGAGGGTACCGGCCCACCCTCCACAGGGCCCACGTTTTGTGTTTCTGCACCCTTCTCCTTCGTGTCTAGGAACACTCCCCCCACCCCCACCCCGTGTCTCCTGCTTGTGCTGTGCGGGTGGGGCAGCGACTACCTGAGATGGAGCTGAGGTGATGGCCTTCTGGGCTCGCGGGCGTGTTCTGAGCTCGGTTCAGGTGGGCTCGGCAGGTCTGCCACGTGCTCAGTTTTGGTGTATCCAGGGCATCTCCCACGTAGGGCATTTCCACTTGTGGTGCTACCTTGGGCCGCAGCCCATCCTGTCGGGCCTCTGTGAGTGATTGGCTTCTACGATGCTCTCCTGCACTTTCCTGTGCTCAGGCCCCTAATCTCTGTCCGTCACTTGCCCTTTAGCACCGGGCAAGTTGAGTGGTGGCAGTGGGCACATCACCGCTTCCCTATGAGGCCTCATGTTGCGGACTTGAGACCGAGGTCCCACGTTTTGCTGTGAAGAGGGCCCACTCTCCATGGTCACACATCTTTGGTGTCAGCACCCAGTGTTTCCTGTGTGCCCAGAGTGCATGGAACAGGGTGTCCTGGGTGGGTGGGTGCTGTTAGCATGTCACAGGGCCCTCGTCCCCTGCTCGGTCCAGGCCTGTCAGCTCTCAGGTGCACGTCCCACCACCCAGCCAGCTCCACTGTCCACACAAGTTGTGTCTTCGGGTACTTTCATTTCATTTTCCTGGGTCATTTCCTCTTGTATTCTCTGTTGTCTTCTGTGGCTCTGATTTTGGGTTTTTCTTGGTGGGTCACTGAGCCCCCACAGCTGCGGCTGTGTTGGTTCATCACTGCTGCTACCTCTCATTTCTACGCCGGCCACTGGGCCTCTGCCTACATGGAATTGGGGCCGCAGGTCATTTCTCTTTGGTGCTCAGAGCCGAGGAAGGAGGTGTAAGTTCAGGAGGAGGGTGTGAGGGTGCCTTTTGTTTTCTTCTCTTGGCGTTAATTCCTGCATTTGTTGTGTTGTGGTGGCAGTGTGGCCGGCGCTGTCTCTCCTCTGTGCCGTCTTTTGGGTGCCTGGCTGGGTGTTTAAAGAGCGGCCCTGGGCAGGGAGGAGCCCTGTGCTTGCTCCGGCCCGGCCTCCCATATCCACGGGGTCGTCTGTTGCTGACTTGTGATTCACCTTCGCTCACTGTGTCCTGTGGCCTCTCGGGCACAGAGCATCCTGTCTGCTCTGCAGCGCTGGCTGCCTCTTCCTCCAGCAGTGGAGATGTTCTCCCGCCTGGCCTGCCTTGAGTTTTTTGTTTGTTTGATTTTTATGTCTTTATTGATTTGAGAGAGAGGGAGAGAGAGAGAGAGAAACATCAACGATGAGAGTCATTGATCGGCTGCCTCCTGCACACCCTCAACCAGGGATCGAGCCCACAACCCGGGCCTGTGCCCTGACCGGGAATCGAACGACCATCTCCTGGATCCTAAGTCGATGCTCAACTGCTGAACCACACTGGCCGGGCCTGCCTTGCGTTTTGTCTGCGGGTTTCCTTGATGTTTGCCATGTTCTTCCTCCCACCGGCCACCCCACCCCTGCTGCTGTGCTGTCAGGTGGCGGACGTGGCTTCCCACCCATCCACCCAGGTCTCCGCAAATGGAGCAGGAGGGTGCGGCTGCCTTGGGCCGTGGGGCTGCTCCTCAGATTAACCTCCTGAGCCACACCTGTGGGCCTATGGAAGCCGTGGCTCCCGTGTGCCCATCCTCTGTGTCCCTGTGCCCTCCCGAGGTGCTGGGAGGAGACAGGAGGCGGGGCTGGTGCAGGAAGCAGATTCCCAGTGTGAGTGCTGCAGGGAGGGGCTGGAAGAATTTGGAGGAAGGTGGAGGAAGAGACAGCCACGGCTGCGGGAGTCCTTCCCTCAGAGGAACAAGTTGCGTGTGTCCAGGCGGAGAGCCACCTGGTGAGTCCAGGAGGTCGCCCCCCACACGAGTGTCCTGCTCTCCGGGAGTCGAGTGGTGGCTCTCCAGGGAAACGTCGGTCAAGATGTGAACTCGCATGACACTCGCGCCAGCTGAGACGTTAGGTAGTCAAGGAACCCTTAGTCTTGCCGCCCGATGACTGTGTGGCCCCCACCGAGGGGTGGCTGCCGTGCGGCACTCTGCGCGTGTTGGACGTGTGCTCACCGGCAGGGCCCTTCCCCGGGAGGTCGGGGACCTGCATCGCCCCAGGTGTCAGGCCTGTCACCCTCCCACCCGTGGGTGCCGTTTCCTCTGGCTCTCCCCCTTCTGCTTGTCTGTCTCTGTCCGCACCCGTCCCTTTTCAGGGTGGGCACTGCCTCCTGACCCTCCGGCCTGCTGCCCGTCCTGGCCGAGGGCGTTCGGGTTGTTTCCAGGTGGAACTGTTGAGCTGAGCGCTGTGAATGCTCTTTACAGTCTTGTGGGGACAGCGTGTCCTTCCTGGGTGAGGGCTGAGGAGAGGCGCCTGCTCGTCACGGGGCCGCCCTGCCCTCCTGGGGGAGCCACGTGCTCGCTGACCCTCCTGGGGCCTTTGCTGAAGTCTCGTTCAGGTCTTTCACCCACTTTCACTGGGCGTGTTTCCTTACTAAGGAGTTTTAAGTTCACGTCTCGTGAACACAAGTCCTGCGTCGGGCGTGTGATCTGCGTTGAGTCTGTGCAGCGTCTGTTTTGTGGATTCTGCTTCAGTGTCAGCTCTGAGAAGTCTCTGCCTCGTCCCTCCCTCGTCTCGGGTGGTTTGTCCTGGGAGCTGCTGGTTTCAGGTTTCGTGTCAGCTTCACATCAGGCGTGAGGCGCAGGCCGCCCGGGACGTGGGTGCCTGTGTGACCAGGGCACCTGGTGGCTCTTTCATCCTCAGCAGCTTAATTAGTGGAGGGAACGCCCTTTGCGGCCGGTGGGCATGTTTCTCTACACAGAAGTGGGTCCCCTGCGTCCTGCCGGCTGACGGGGTGTGGACTGTGTCCCCAGGCTCCGTCGAGGACGCCACGGCCGGCGTGTTTGGCGAGGAGGATGCGGAGGACGAGGAGCTGGAGGCCGCCGCCAGCCACCTGAACAAGGACTTCTACCGGGAGCTGCTTGGCGGTGGCGTTCCCGGCAGCGCGGAGGCTGTGGGCAGCCCCAGCGGGAGTGGCAGGCCCCCCGCCCTGGAGTCCTTGCTCGGGCCCCTGCCCACAGCGGCGAGCCTGGGCATCTCAGACTCCATCCGAGAGTGCATCTCCTCGCAGAGCCAGGAGTCCAGTGAGCGTGGGGCGGGGCGGGGCGGGGCGGGGCCGGAAGGGGTTCCAGGTTTGGGTGGGTTTGGTTGGGCTTGGGCCGTCCCTCCCGGTCTCTGGGAGGCAGAGGCACCACCAGCCACATGCAGGGCTGTGAGCAGGCAGCGACCCCATTGTGTGCCAACCCCAGATGCCAGCAGGCGCCACTGTTTCTGGGACGCTTGTCTGCTGTCCTGCTGGCTCAGGTTGTGGCCACGGGCACCTTCTTGCCTCCGTGTGACCCAGGAGGCACTGTGGACAGGCATCCCGCATGCAAGCCTTAGCTGAGAAGTCACGGCCGTGTGTCATGCATGGTCCCTGCCCGGGGACAGACTGTCTCCCTGCCCACCCTTCTGCATTGTCTAACCCAGTGGGGAAACACTGGCTGAGGGTACGATCTCCATGGTCAGACAGACAAGTTCAGGCAGGTCCTGCAAAGTGCAGGGCAGAGGGCACATACCAAGGCCCTGGGGCAGCAGGGGCACTGTGACCCTGGAGCAGAAAGAGGCTGTTCTGGCCAGAGCTGAGGGAGCATGGAGTGCCCGGGGGCCCTTGCAGGGCCTCGGTGGGGAGCATCCTGACGGCCTGCTGTGGGCAGACAACAGTGGGGCTCAGCAGAGGACATCAGGTGTCGAGGGGCAGCAGGCAGCGGGGGCCACCTTGATTTGAGTATTGCAGATGGTGCTCTTGACCCAACTGGGGCAGGAAGGGGTGGCTGACAGGTTTTAGGGATGTTCTGAGAACAGTCAGAGGGCTCCCTGAGGCCCCCTCTCAGATTGCTGAGCAGAGAACTGGCCGACTGCCCTCTCCCAGTCTGGAAGCTTCTCCGACAGGACGCACAGGACAGGTGGGGTGTGCCCTGTAGCCCCGTGTGGCATCCTGCTTCCTCTGCCTAGCATGGGGTCTTCGCACATGCTAGAGCAGTGCCAGCTTGCTGGAGGCAAGGAAGCTGAGTCCTGAGAGCCTGGGGGTGTTGAACTTGTTGACCAAAAGCTGTGCTTTTCTCTAGAAGACGCTTCTGGGGATGGCGAGCTGGACCTCAGTGGCATCGATGACCTGGAAATTGACAGGGTGAGTGCAGGCTCTGCGCCCTCCAGGGCTGGCAGGAGATGCATTTCCTGGGATCTGCCTGCAGGATCTGTGGCTGTGATGCAGATGTCAGGCCCGCTGGGATCCTGTGTGCCTGCACAGCCCCAGACCCCTGTCCCAGGTCGTGTGTGTGCAGGGGTCCCTCAGCAGGCAAGGTCTGTCCCTGCTCTTAGGATGTAGCACTGAAGCCCACCTGTTAGCTCCGACATTGGCCTCCCAAGCCCTCAGTCTGCTCTCTTGTCAGGACCTCTGTCCCTGTATCTGGTGGCCCAGCTCTTGTGCCCGGAGGGCTGTGAGCTGTTCAGAGGGGTGGGTGGGAGTGCCATGGAAAGGTGTCCCCGGCAGGCTCCTGAGGATGAGCCATTTGTGGGGTTGCACATTCACCGTCCTTGGCCAGAGACCCACCCCCGACCAGTTACACGGGTGGGAGGCATGCTTATGGCCAGGACCAAGCATGCCTCTGAGCGTGATGCTGTGCTCTGCCCAGTACATCCTGAACGAGGCAGAAGCCCGTGTGAAGGCCGAGCTGTGGATGCGGGAGAATGCCGAGTACCTGCGGGAGCAGAGGGGTAAGCGCCGCTCCCCTGCCTGGGCACCCAGCGTGTGGGGCCCTCGCTGACCCAGCTGCTTGTTGGCCTTTCAGAGAAGGAAGCCCGGATCGCCAAGGAGAAAGAGCTGGGCATCTACAAGGAGCAGAAGGTAGGGCAGTTGCTGCCGTGGACCAGCCTGTCCTTCCTGTGACCTGGTGGGGCTGGCGCGGGTGGTGGGTCTGTGTGCTCCAGTGGGGAAAGCCCCAGGCAGGCTGCTGAGACTCAGGACCTGTGCCAAGGGCCCTGTCCCCTCTGTGGCCTGGCAAAGCCTGCTCTCGCCGCCTGTCCTGCTGGTGGTCACAGTGCCGTGGCTCAGCAGCTGGTGTGTGGTGATACCTGACTGGGAGCCACTTTGGGGAGTGGTCGGGCCTGTAACTGAGACAGAGAAGAGACAGGAGCTTACGTGCAGCAGGCTGGGTGGGGGATGGCAACAGCTGAAAGCATAGGCTCACAAACCCGTCTGGACTGAGAGGGAGGGAGGCCAGGGCTAGAGTCAGGGTTTGGGGCCCCTGGCAGCATAGTCTGTCATTTCCCCCCAAGGGGGCTGCGCAGGAGAGCTGGTGGGCTCCTGCAGGTGGTCTGCAGCTCAGTGCCCAGGTCAAAGTCCAGGGACCATACCTCCCTGCTGGGTGGCATGGCCAGAGCACAGGAAGCACCCTGCTCTGTCCTGTCTGCTTGGCCACAGGCCAGTGTGGGAGGGGGCTGTGTGGGAGCTGGGGCAGTTTGCAGTACTGGGCTAGGCTCCCTGCTGGTGCCCCGCTCACTGGGGAGGGTGCAGTGGGGCAGGATGGGCCCAGGCTGCTTCCCCCATTCCGAGAGGAGGAGGTGGGTGTAGCCTTGGGATTGCCGAGCCCCTCCTTCCCTGAAGTCCTGGGCGGCACCTCACGGGCCCAGGGGTGCCGACTGCCAGCCTGCAGGAGGTGTCACTTGTGTGTTTCCCTCGAGCCCAAGAAGTCCTGCAAGCGCCGGGAGCCGATCCAGGCCAGCACGGCCGGGGAGGCCATCGAGAAGATGCTGGAGCAGAAGCGGATCTCCAGCAAGATCAACTACAGCGTGCTGCGGGACCTGGACAGCAAGGGTGGCGGTGCGCACAGGCAGGACACGCGGCCCGAGGACAGGGCCGGCGCCAGGAAGCTGCCGCGGAGGAAAAAGCCGGCTGGCAGGAGTGGGGCCGACCCTGTGGCCAGTATGGGGAAAAGGTACTGTGCCAGGTGGGTGGGGCCAGGGCAGGAGCCCCTGTGCTAGGGGTCGTGTCGGTGACAGCATGGCATCCACTGCCCCAGCCGGCTCAAATCCGCATGCAGGGCTGGGGCCCGGGTGGGGGCAGCTGTCATTGGAGCCCCTCCGGCTCCTAGCAGAGTGTGATTCAGCGTCTCCCAGCTGTGCCTGGAGGGAAGGGGTTCAGGGCTACCACATAGGCTCTGCCCCGCATCCACCCTGCCTCCCGCCACCAGCCCTGGGGTGTGGGGTTCCTGGGCTTGGAGGGGAGCCTGTCTCCTCTCAGGTGGGGGTCCTGCTGTGCCCCTGGGTGGGTTAGCAGCGTTGAGGAGCTTTGGTGCGTGTCCTCTCGGTCCCCTGCAGGTAACAGTGGGGAAAGCCCTGGCTTTGTGTTTGGAGGGTTTGGGGGAGGGTGAGCAGGCCCAGTGGAAGGGGTGCTGTTAGCAGAAGTTGGGGTGCCCCCTGCTGTGGTCCTGGGGGGCATGGGTGAAGGGGGCAACTAAAGCTGTTTGGCTGGGAGGAGAGGGGCAGATTTGGGCCCTGGAGCGCTCCTCCCCCTCCCCTCCCTGCTCTGCTCCCCTCACCCCCCCTCCTGTGCTTTCTTTCAGGTTGAGGCCAATGGTATCCACACAGCCAGCTAAGAAGGCAGCCCTGGGAGAGGTACATTGTATGGACATAGCGAGGGGCGGGGACCCCAGAGAGTCCTGTCTGAGTGAGGAACGGGGAGGACAGCCCCTGGTGGGATGGAGCATGAGCCACACTGCTGTGCGTAGCAGCAGGAGTCCTGAGGCCCAGATGCCAGGGAAGTGTCCTGGGACTGGGCCTGGGGCCTGAGAGCCTGAGTCCTCCACACAGGGCATGGGGAGCGGAGCTCTGCCCCTCCAGCCCTGCCCCTGGCCAGCCTGCAGGTGATATCTCCTGGGGCCATTCGGGGAGAGCCTCTGGGCAGCGAGGCCAAGGTCCCGGGGTCCAGCCTGGTTGTGCCGGCAGTCCCTCCTTGGATGGTGGCCTCATCTGGGGACTGGGCCCTCCCGGGCCATGGCTCAGGGGTCTTCACTCCTTGTCCTCAGGGTCTGGTTCAGCCAGAAGCAGGGAGGGAGGGTCTCCAGGTATCCCAATGTAGCTGCAGGTGCAGGCTCTGGAGTGGGGGCAGGTCAGGGTCACGGGGTGGCCAGGGAGCCTTGTTCCGTACCCTGTCCCAGAGCCTGTCCCCCCTCACTTGCAGGCCCTGCTCCCGAGCCCTGTCCCCCTGGGGTCTGAGCCGGTGAGGCCCTCAGCGGTCGTGGTGGAGAGCGGCCCTGTGTCCTACCACCCCGAGGAGGACCCCGACGAGGACCCCGACGAGGAGGACGGGGAGCCCTGCGTCAGTGCCCTGCAGATGCTGGGTGGCAATGGTGCGGGCTCCAAGTGGCTGGTGGGTTGACGTGGGCTGGGCTTCCAGGAAAGGGCACTGTCTACCTGCCCCTAAGCTGAGGCCTGTTGGCTTCTCACCGTGTTTCACCTGGGAGGAGATCTGAGTGAAGACGCTTGGTGTATTGGCTATATGGGCTTTGAGCCCCGGTGTTTGGCCAGGTCCTGCCCACTGGGGAGACCGGGCACTGGATTGGCCAGGGGTGGCCCAGCCTACAGAAGTAGGGTTCCCACCTGCAGTGCAGCACACCTCACATGGGTACTTGACCCTGAGCCAGGCCCCCACTGCCCACATGCGAGGCCATCGGCCCCCAAGACCTGCGGAGACCGAAGTGGCCCTTTCCATCGAGGGTGGGGGGGCCTGTGTGGACAAGGCTCCCAGCTAGAGCTGGAGCCTCCAGGGAGCAAGGGAGGGTCCCCTCGGTGTCCCTAAACAGCCTTTGTGCTTTGCAGATTACGGCTGTGATGGCGACGACGACGATGGCTACTGAGGCGTGACCGCACCTGGCAGTGTCCGTGGTGGACCCGCTGGTGTCTGAGGGACCAGACAGGGTCTCTGGGCCCAAGGCCCACAGGCACGAGCACGAGACTCTTGTGACAAGAGGGCGCTGCCTGCCTGCCCCGCAGCTTGCGTCTCACAGCCACGTGTGGCGTCCGTGGCACTTGCGTGGGCACCATGTTTTGAGCAATGTACGGTGTGTGTCCATCTCGGGTGCCTGGACTGGGGCCTGCACGTGACTCAGACGTGTGTCTCGTGGCCCAAGAACCCTCCGCAGACATGGCTGTCATGTCTCCTGTGAGGAAACTGAGGCCCAGGAGGCCCAAGTGCGTGGAGGGCTGGTGGGCTCCAGGACCCTGCTCTGCCCTGGTGGAGCCGGTGCCCTGCGCCCTCCGGGTCTCGCTGTCACCGAGAAGCACTGTGTCCAGCTCCCTCTGCTGGTCCCGAGCTGGTCCCGCACCTCCAGCTGCAGCCAGACCCAGCCTCCTTGCTGCTGCCAGGGCCCGGGGCCCACTCAGAGCTGCACGAGCCCAGGGGCCGGAGCCAGGAGAGTGGCGGGCACTCATGTCTGGGCTGGCATCTGGCTCAGCATACCAGAGGGAGGGAAGGCAGGCAGGGCCCTGAGCTTGGCTGCCTGCTCTAGAGAGTTCCCACTGCCCTGAACTGCCCCAGGGCCAGGCCTTGGAATAGGAAGGCCCAGAGACTACTGTCAAGTCTTAGCTCGGGCATCACTGCTCTGGACATCCCTCAGAGGCCAGGCCGTGGCCCACCCTACTGCCCCGGAGAGGATGACCTCGGTGGCAGACCACACTGCCTGGCCCAGCACTCGCTCTCCTGGGGGGCTGGGCCCCTCCCACGATGCAGCAGAGTCTGCAGGTCAGGACTCAGAGGCCAGTTGCTGCACCCCTCGGCCAACACCCTCGGCCTGGGAGGTGGGTGGAGGCTGGGTTCTGAGGACAGAAAGGTGTTACTCGAGCAGAAACCTCTGCGGCTGTGGCCTGTGATTCTGTGTGTGGCTCCATGGCCTGTCCCAGAGGGACATGCCTGAGGGAGGCTGGAGGGGCAGGTGGGGTGGAACACCCCATGCTGGAAGGGGAGCTCCAGGTGGCAGCCCAGCCAGGCGTGTGTGGTTGAAGCAGGAGTCGAGTCCCAGGGAGGAGGCCTGGTGAGGAGCAGCTGTGCCCTGAGGGTGAGGCGAGGAGCACTCGGTGGCAAGGCCCCGGAGCAGTGGGACCCGCACCACAGGGACACGTGGGTGACAGGTGGTGCTGAAGCCACGTGCTGTGGTGGTGGTGACTAACGTGGCAACGGGGCAAGGCCCTAGGCGAGCAGCCAGCTGCGGGCAGGGTGCCGCTGGACTAGACAGCACCCCACGCGCAGGTCACCACTGTCACACGTGGACCCGGGGACGTCATGCAGGCCTGCGTACTGCTCCGCCCCCGCAGCGGTTTCCAGGTTGGACCTCCAAGCAGGGGCAGGGCTGATGGCTCCTGATGCCACCAAGACCACCTGAGGGGCCTTTGGGAGGAGCACAGGTGCTGGGCAGCCTCTGAGAGCAGAAGCCGCCCGGTGCCTTTGCCTTGGGGCTGAGCCTGTCCCTGCCGAACCCCGGCCTACCTGCTCTCAGCCCGTACCACCCCTCCGTCCAGCCTTCCCCAGACCAGGCTTCTCACCCTGCCCCTGTGCACCCTGCAGGCTGAGGCACTGCCCGCGTAGCTGCACCTCCTGCAGGCCCCTCTGTGGCTCCCTGGTGCTGAAGGGTGAGCCAAGGCTGGGGTAGGTGGGCTGGTGGCCAGGTCCTACCCAGGGGCTACTGGGTGCAGAGGGGCCAACAGGCTGTGTCTAGGAGTGAGGGCTCTCTTCACTGGCCTGGGTCTGGATGTACCACCAGGGTCAGGGTCAGCTGGGCCTGCTGTCCACTCTGCTGTTGAGGGACTTCAGCCCTGGGAGGAGTGTGGAGCACTCCCCTGCCCCTGAGG